GAAGGCGAGCAATGAGCACAAAGCAGGACGCATACTGGAGGGGATGTCAGTCCATAATAGGGCAGACAGATACAGTACAAACACAGTCACATCAGGGCCAGTTTGCCTATCAGTATGTTTTTTAGACTGTTGGAGGAAACCAGAGCACTGAGGTAACCCACGCACACATGGGGATAACATACGAACTCCACACAGACAGCACCCCAGGTCTGGAATTGTACCCAGGCCTCCAGTGCTGTGAGGCAGCAATGCTAACCATTGCCCCAAACACGCTGCCCGTTTTGAATATATTCACTTTCTAAAGCAACATCGCTGTCATCGTCGTCATCCCTCCTCTAGAGGGCGCTCCTCCGTTTTTTGTATTATGTTTAGTTTAAGTACCTTCACCTGCTTCTTGTCCCCCTTTGTGATATTTAAGCCCAGCATCTCCGCAGTTCTGGGCTCAGCTTTGGAAGACAACCAGTCCGAGGGTAAGGCCTTATCCCCAGACGTCCTAACCTCTGAGCCAGGGGCTTGGAGAGCCCAGTTCTGTTATGTTTTTATCTACTGTGCTCCTGTTTTTAACTGTCTTTGTCTCGGAAGGACCTCCCAGCATTGGGCATTGGACTGCGCCCGAACTACCCTAATGGACCTCCATTGGATTCGTTACCTGCTCCCTTTCCCCGTGCACCGGATCACCACTGCCACCGCCCCCTGTCTGTTGACCCTTACCTGATGTGCTTCTCCAGATGCACAGGGTCTTTTACAACACACTTCAGGGGAGTCAGAACCAGCTCCAGTGACAATAGCTAGAGGTTTGAATAAAAATATTTTATAAATGTTTAATTATGTTGCTTGCTCGACTACACTGTAATGATCAAGTAGCTGAACAAGTTATTCATATAAGCTTTGGGGCTATTATTGGTCATAAGATCTCATTATTGGTCTATAAAAGCATATACATCTGAGTATATTATCCTAATCCAATACTTAACACTGTCCCAAACCCCAAAACTGTCATTAGAGTTTTGCCTCAAATATACCTGGGTGCATACCCGTTGCTCCAGGGTTAAAAATGCTATAGTAGCTTTCTTCTGCCTTAATTACACAGGGAGTATGTATCACTCCATTGCCTATGTTATTAACAAGAGTTACTCCTCACACTGTGTGTTATGACCCAGTTTACCCTAGGAGTGCACACAAGCGCAACAGAATTGGTGGATTGTGCATGAGGCAAATTGCTTGAGCTTGATTATCTGAACAAAAAGCAGTTGATTTAAAATTTCAGATCCTAATTCATAGAATGTATAAAGCACTCTCCTCCCATGTGTGTGTGGTGCCAATGTCACAAACTGTGTCATCAGCTCTCCAAATATTATATACTGCATATATAAATGATAATATATATATTTTGTGAGGCCAAAGATGGCACAGTGGTGCAGTGGGTAGAATTGCTGCCTCGCAGAGCTGGGGCCTATTGTCCAATTTCAGACCTAAGGTGCTGTCTGCATGGAGTTTTTATGTTCTCCCCGTATTCACACGGGTTTCCTCCCATAGTCCATAGGTTAATTGGATTCTGGGAAAACTGTCCCTGGTGTGTGTGTGTATTTTTGTCTTTATGTGCACTGTGATGGACTGGCATCCCCTCCAGAGTGTGGATGTCCGTTCTTGTGGCCATTGTTTGCTGGGATAGTCACCGGTTTCTCTTCAATCCTGTATTGGATAAAGCAGCTAGACAATAGATGGATGGATACTGCGGCCTTTCATGGGGCCTTCTGTTTCTCAGTAACTTGACTCTTTGTTGTTCTGTGCCAATTCTTTCTCTGCGTGGGTCATTTTTTGGTCATGGGAAAGGAAAGAAGCAATTTCATGGCTGCATCTCATCAAACAAACAACAATAAACTCTACCTGATTTTCAAACAATGGATGTATAAATCCACAGTAGTTCTTTTGAACACACTCGATATGTCAGGTCTGCACTCTTGTGTAAGTTGTAATTGTACTCATATGTTGCAGAAGCTAGAATTATCCTTTACCGTGAACATGACAGTATTTTGACAATGACAATAAGACAATGAAATAGAAAGTCTGTGATTTGTAAACAAATAAAAAGTAAAATGTCTCAAAATGCTGACTTGATTTATGAGCTTCTGGACTCTGGACTTAAAGCTGTACTTTTAGATTAACTGATAAATTTTAAGTTATTGTATGTGTGTGTTGCCTAGGGACTGGAAAGGGCTATAAAAAAAAGGTAAAAGAGTAAATACCGTTAATAAAAATGTAATATATAAATTAATAAAAGGTTCTAATAATAATGGTAATTGTATGAATGTATTATAAAGCATAAAAATGTATTACACTGTATCTCAGTCCCATGAAATGTCTCAAAAACCCTTAATATTTTGTTTTTGGTGCACTGTTATTACAATACTGTACCTCTACTGGCAATGATTTCACGATGGCTTCATGGCATTTGGAAGCCAAAGAGCATCCATAGTTGCTTGCCTTATTTATTTAGGAAGTGGTTAAAGTTTAAATCTGTTTACTGATCTAGAAGAAAAATGATTCAAGGAATGGGAAAGCAAAAGAAAAGTTTTGTTTTTATAAACATCTTGATTTTAAGCTGAGCTTACTTTGTGTCAGAGAACATTATTGTGTCAAACAACCATAGTTAAGAAAAAGAAAACAAAGACAAAAAGTGACCAGTCTGTGTCTTTTTTACTGTTATAATTTGTTGTCTCAAACTTCTGTTAAGGACGTGATCAATTCAGGTGCACACAAGGACTGCCCTGTTAAAATTTGAACCCACCTTGTGCAGAAAGAGCGCTGGTGTCTACAAGCATGTGTGTCTAAGATGTCTATAAAGGTAAAAATTCCCTAGTGTGAAACATTGTTCTCACATACAGATACATTTATTGTACTTCATTATTATCTATCTTTGAAAAAACCTCAGGTGTCTGTTGGTGGTCATTCGGTTTCCCTGCTCAATATTCAGTGCACCTTCTGTTATGCTAGCAGGCTGACGGTACACATTCTATAAATAACCTCACTCCTGAAGCCATCAGATTCTCTTCAGTGTACTAGCCCTGGTGAGTTTAAAGCCAATTTATTTGAGGTGCACTGGAGAATATGATTATCAGCACAATAACCATTAATGACTGTGCTGTACACGAGCTGAGCTGAAGTATGCTTCCCTGATGTTGAGGATTACAAGACGTTAAACAAAGAGAAATTCATCCGACAGTGAAAGGCTTTCAGGTTCACAGTGCCTTTATGTTATAGCCCATTCAGTGTACTATATGGACACTGTTAGCTGACCAAGCTATTACAATGCTTTACACATTTTCAGCCTTTAAGAACTAAAATATAAAGAGGAAGTCGTAGCTACTGAACTGTTGTACACATAATATGCAGTTATCAGGTTAGCAAACAGTTACATGTAAGGAAACAGTTTTGCTAAATGGAGTGCATCTGAAATATTTCTGCCTGAACAAAGGATAAAAGCTTTTCAGCAATGATATAATCATTCTGGAGGAGTTCATGATTTGTGTTTTTTACAAAAGGCAGCTTTCTTTCCCCCAATGAAGTGGAGACACAGAAACAGCGTCGGTTCTGCAAATGAGGAGAATGCGAAGCACTGCAGTGAGTTTTTCTAGTCACAGGAAGGTGAGGAAGATGTCAGGCTGCTTCAGCCTTATTTCAAACATGGTTTGTATCCTGTTCACCACTTAAGGAAAATGCAATACAAAAAGGCTTAGGCAGAAGTACATTTGCATCTTTAGCAATGCTTTCAGCTTTTTTTCAGCCAGTGAAAGTCTTAAGTTCAAAAGTACCCTGACAGCCATTGGGTCACAATCCTGTGAGTTCAATTAGGAAATTCCATGCTCTTAACCTTATTGCAATGGAAACAATAAGTGCCTTTTCAACCACAGCACAAATGTATCCTGAACCTCAGCTTAGTACCTGAAGGATCTCTCTTACAATTAAACTGAATTCAGTAGACAATTCCTGACTTAACACAAAGCATAATTCTTCACTGTCATATTATTGGAATAAAATGCCCTGTACTGCCTGTAAGTCAAACTGTAGGCTGATAACACGTCTGTACCTCAGATGTGGACAAGTCTTATACAAACTGATGCCAGAGAAAATCCCCAGCTCAGTATACTTACAGTATATATATGCTGTAGTTTTGCAGTCAAGAATCTACAAGTGGTTTTAACCAGTTTCAGAAATCCATCTTTGATCACAAAAACTGTTTTTCCTGGTAAGACTCACAGAAATCCAGAATTTATCCTGGAATCACAGGGCACATGATGGGACATGGAATTCTGTCACTCTCATGTCCCCAAACTTCATAAGTAGTAACAAGAAGAAGATGAATTGATTAACATTAACATTGTGTCACAGCCTCCACTAATCAGACACAGGGCCCTGCTTCTTCCCACAGACGCCAACGCACATCCTAATTATCCAACCACGTCCCCAGTCCTGCATCACACCTCCCCACCACCCACTACTTAAGGGCTCTTCACCTGCACCTCCACGCTCAGTATTAAGTTCGTACTTAAGATTGCTGTCAAAACAAGTTACTTGGTAGAATCAGTATTAATTCACATCTGTGAGGTTTTATCCAACTCTGACATTTCATTTTCTTCCATTAAAAGTGTAGAGTATGAGGTGTAGGTAAAAGAAAAACATTACTCATTTAAGTGCATGAATCTCAGGCACTGGCACAACAAAGTGTACACAAAGTTCAAGGGGGTGTACGCTTTCTGTAGACACTTTATTTCCTCTTTTGTTCCCTTTCACACTCAATTGAGCCATATCTTGTCAAAGTAATCAAACATTTCACTTAAACATAGACATACATTCACTATAGCAGTGGAACTATTAGCACAAACCCATACTCTTTGAGATTGTGCATATTCAATGGATTTCTCCTGGTGCTTTTTTTTCATCAGTCATTTGATCATATTCTTGTTCTCTTCTGAGGAGTCTCTGGTTCCTTTGGTCATTTCTGTTGTACACACACGGTATCACACACTTGAGCAAAGTGTGAAACCACTGTTTCTTCGTCTCCTGAAATAAAGATTTACATCTTTATTTCAGAAGCACTCATCTTGAAAAGGTATATCATAAGAAAGCTGATTCAATCAAATCTTCTCAGTGTGGAATGGCTGTTCATTCATACGTGTCAAACCTGGGTTGGTACCCTGTATTGAAGCCAGTGTAGGGGAAAGTATGAAAGAGTTAGTTATGTACAGTATGAGTAGCTTCTACTGTACACCAGTTATTGAAGCAATCTGTGTATTTTTAATAGTGTTAGTAATATTATTCTCATAATAGTATACAGGTATGAGTAAAACAATACATTGTCTGTTGTAAACAAATTTCCCCAATATTCTTATTCATTTAAAAAATGTAATCTCTACTGAGTACTCGATTAAAACAATACAAAAAACTGATCATTGACATTCTGCTGACATTACGGTTTATCTACAGGCTAAGTATAATATAGGATCAGAGAAATCTGCAGTGGCAGTTTAACTATGCTCAACGTGACCTACAGTATGAAGAGCTGAAAAAGTGGTGCTCTGATATTTCTTTCTGTATTTGTGGAAGAACTTTTCAAATGACTCTTTTAAAATGCTTTATGATGTGCACAATTCCTTCATGTTTTGTTTGCTTGTCTTTGACAGACGAACACAACTAAGCAAGAATAACCATGTTATCTGTTCCTTACTCTGTTCTACTTACCTGTTTGACCACTTTGTCTCCTTCAGTCAGGACAGGGTCCTGGGGCTGACTCTGAGCAATCTGAGAAGAGCTCTCTGTGATCTTCTCCCCTACATTGACTACATTGTACTCTGTTTGAAATCCAGGGAGCACCTCCAGTGAGTTCCTCGGTCCTTTTTGGGACTTGAATGGGTCCCAAAAGTGATTATGTTTCACTTTTGAAAGTAAAATATCATGAAATGATTATTTGGGTCTTTGCATCAGGGTCCATGTGATGTACAGTACTTTGAAGGCATTTGTTGACGCTTTTAAGCACTTTCATTGATTATTATAATTCAATTTGTTTTTACAAGTCCAGAATTCTTTACATTGAGTCATTCCATATTCGGAATGTGGGAAAACAGTGTTTTTAAGGAAAAAATCGATGAAGGAAATGCCATTGAATATAGCTGCAGTCTACAAAGATGGATTTGCTCATTATTCTGTAAGTGACAACTTATACTACGGTAGTCTTAGATCATTTAATGATGATTATTATATATTTCTAATTGGAAGAAGGCCCCATATCATGTTCATTGCCCCTTTATCAGTCATGTGGATTGATTTATACCTGTCAGGGAACTGGCAGGTAGTTCTCCGGGGATCCTGTGCGTAGCTGTGAATTCTGCAGAATGCAGAGGCAAACAAACCAAAATCGTAATCCAGAAGCAAGGTCAATAGGAGAAGCTAGAGATCAGTTAACCAGAACAAGCTGAGACCAACCAAGAAGACAATCCAGAAGGCGAAATCCAAGAGACAAGATCGAAAAGGGAAAAGTTAAATCAGAAAATCCAGGAAATCCAACAAGACAAAAACGTGCACTAGAGAACTCTAAAGGAGGTTTCTCAATAGTGAGCATGGTTTTGTGCGTGTGGGAATTTTAAATACTGAAGGGAGAGGGACGTGATTGGATAATTGGTCCAGGAGTGAGTATCTGTGGAATATGGTGCCTGTGAGAATGTGATGGGTTCAGTTAGGAATGAGATTGTGAAACAGTGGGTTTGGGAATGTAATGGCGTTTGCGAAGGAGAGTGCAGGGCGTGACAATACCTGAAGTAGCTAATTCTCACCTTGACATATCAAAGAAACTCTGAACCTCTACCAAGGGTGAACGTGTCCTTTGTCTAAAAGGTTAAAAATTATTGAAGCAAAATGCAGCAACCCAAATGCTGAGGAGGTCTTTTCCACAGTTATTTCATATGACAGTGCTGGGAGTGAAACTACATGACCAAGGTGAAGAAGTAAAAACACATTACCTTGTTCCTCCTGACTGATGTCTGTGTGCTTGTTTTGCACAGTAGCGCATTTTGTGTCTTCTCATCTGTGTACACAACAGCCCTCTTCCCTGGGATAGAACTAAATGATATATACACGCATGTTAATTTTACTTCTCCATTGCTCACATTGACATGGATACATAGTGCTGTTATTATTGCACTTAAATGTTACACTTTTGCTTAGGAAAAAGATTGTAGTAGACGTTGCTTCTTTTACCTCTATTCCAAACAATTGGACTACCTTCAGAATACACTGACAATGACCTGTGTAATACGTCCTAGGAAAATTATGTTATTTCCTTGAATAATACGCATTTCAACTCTCAACTGCTATGCATCTTATTTAAACATCTCATTTCTATCTGTAATTGCAAAAGGTTTGTCTGCTGAGAGCAACATTTCAAGTACTGTACGTTCTTACACACACCTAAACTATTTGCCGAGAAACTTCTCACATTTACTTTACTTAACTGGTTCTTTTCTTTATCCCTTTGCTCCTACTGTATTTAGTACCACCATCTACAGTACTGTCTCCTATAACTGTGTATTGTCATCATGCATATGTTGTGTATTATTTATTGTTGTTGTTGTTGTTGTAATTCTGTAAAGTTCAGGTGGGTAGCTGCATCAGCATGCATAGGCTGCAAAGGAACAAGTAATAGGTTTATTACAGAGAAGAAAGAATACACAACGTTTCGGCCATGGAGCCTTCTTCAGGTGTTCTTCACCTTTAAAGGTGCTATATAAAATAAAGTTTATTATTATTATTTACATTTTAAAGTTGTCTTTCTCAACAAACAGTGACAATGTCCTTGAAAGGTTCTGCAAAACTTTAGCTGTGTTTTTAAAGCCATGCTCATCTTTATCAGGGACAAAGTAAATAAGGTAGGCCGGCTTCTGTTTGGAATGTTCTATACTACATACAGTAGCTGAAACTGCAGTGAGGCTGCAATAATATTTTCAAAGTTATGGCTGCGACGCTTTGAACCAAGGTCCTCTTCATACAATATCACTTCATTGTTAAATCTGGCAAAGATTCTTAAGGGGAACATCAAAGAACACGTTGCTCTTACCTTGCCATTCCAAGAAATGCCCTCAGCTCGGATTGCAGAGATTCACCCGTCTAAAATTCTGAGAAACAAAGACACTATTGAATAATTACATTTACTAAGATTCACATGACATCAGCAGTCAACATTTGCCACTTTGCATCAATAGAATCCATCGGCTACAATGAAATTTCCAATCATTTTTCTTTCAAGGTACAATACCAATCACCTTGCCAGAAAATGTTATACTGCGGTAGATAAATATTACAGATGTCAGACACACGCAGAGGTGTTTGAATTGCTATGAACAGAGTGGCAAAATATATTTTTGTTCATTCTATTTCTGGAAATGACAGAGCTAAAGACAAAAACGCTAACTTTAATCTCTGCAGACAGGATCGCAAGGGATTCCATTATACTGGGTTCCTATATATAAAAAAATGATACATTATGCAAAAGACATTACAGTATATGTCCCTGTAAATTGGCAGATTGTTTATCAATACATTTAGCTTTAATTTTTTAATCCCCAAGTTAAAATATTTTGTGCCTTTCTCTTAACTTTATTTGCATTTCAATTTAGTTTTTTGTAAGCTCATTTTAAGGTTGCTAGATTCATGAAGTTCCTGAAATGTGTGGTATTTATTTTGGGTTTGGTGCAAATCGTATTCTAATGGTTAGGGGAAAAAGAGCATGCAATAATAATGAGGTATTACGTAAATAATATATTCACATAATGGCGTTTATAACAAATGTTCGGGAGGGATGACAATAACCGACTTCAATCCAACTCAGCTGTCAGTAATTAGCAATCGCTCCTGACATCCATGCCTCTCCCAAAATGCTATAAATACCTACAGTACGAGCTCGTTCTCTCTCCCTTGCATGGGCCTCGCTGTCGCTGTCTTGTGTGCGTCCTTGTAAGTTGTATAGCAACTACTACGACCCTGCCTACACCACACAATCAATACTCCCGTTTGCTGCTCCGATGCCCAGTTGATCTCAGCCAGGACCCACTGATTTCCTCGTTCTCCGCGTATCAGCTACCCATCGATCTGACTCTTCGTCGCTTGTCAACATCTGCCAGCTTCATCCGCAGGTCATGCCTTTCCTAAGACCGCGACCCGCCGTCATCAACCCGTCCTTTCGAAACACCTATCGTTCCACTATCCAGTTACTTTTCCTGTGTGTGTGTGTGTCCATTTTTTTAATGGAGTGCTCTAGAGAAACGCACATTTGCCGCCACGTTCGCAAATCTCCCATTCGAAACCTTTCCTCCCGTTATCACCTGGACAGCAGCACAACGTTATTAAACCACATTTAAACAGCTTTCGTTCAGGACGTACATCTAGAAATATTACTTCTTTTCCTATCGAAGACATACTTAACGTGTCCTGCGCTCCTGTTTTTTTTTAATTGTCCTGCGCTCCTAGTAAACTTCCGCATCTCCCGACGACGTCATCGGCAACGCTACACTCCAGTCCGGTGCAAACGTTGAGCTGCTGGACCTACCCTCGCGTCCATCGATCCGTGCTTGGATTTAAAAAATAATGCCACCTGCACTACTAATGTTAGTCGCATTCATTCTCTCTGCTTTGACCACGCTTCCAGCCATGAGCAGCGAAGAAAAAAAGTGCAACAAACATGCATTTCCCCCAGCTTCCCACAAACCTGTTTAAGCATAAACCAAAAAAAAAAAGCTTTGAACTTCGGAGACCGCTATAACCTTCAGCAGGCTTCTGAAATCTCCCTGCGTTTTTTCATTCAGAAGTCCGTATTAGTTTTCCTTATCGCGTCTAAACTCACCCCTCTGAATCTCAAGCCCCATCTGTTCTTCCTTCATGTCCTTTTTATCTTTTCTCTTGCGCATTTAACTGCATCTTTTGTCCTCATCCACGGCGTTCAATTCAGTCCTGGGTTTGTGACCGTAGCAGTTCCGCGCGGACCCGTGCCTTCCGCCACCCATTCCGTCCCGCAGCACCTGGGGCGCGAACCCCGGTCTCTGGCGTAACGCAACAGGGCGCCAGCCCCGTGAGTTAAAGGAGACCTCTCTCAGCCCAGGTCCCTGCTACGTACAGCAAGGGTGATGATGTTACTGTATCCGAACTAGCTCCGCTACAGGTTCATTACTCCTGTCTCCGCTGCTACTGAGGCCATCTCATCTGTTTTTTTTCTGTCGTCTTACCTCTGGCCCAGTCAGCGGTTGTCCTGTGTCTCATGTCCCTGTCTCATTCGTGTTTCTGTCCAATTCAGCCCTTATGTATCGTGTCCTCGTCTCGTAGTGTCTTGTTCCCCGGTGTTCAGTTTGGCCTCAGCTCCATCCCTCTCATTCTCTGCTGCTACCAAAGCTTGATATTTGTACAGGTAAGTCCTACTTGTGTCCCTGGCTCATTCGTGTCTCTATCCCCAGTGTCCAAATTGGCCCCGGGTTTTCAGTTTATCCAGCCTAGGGTCAAGGGGGAACTGGAGTCTATCCAGGCGAGCAATGGGTGCAAGCCTGGATACAGCCTGAATGGTACGCCAATTCATTGCAGTTCTTGAACTGATTTAATTTATTAATAGAATAAAAGATATTAAAACTATGACAACCCCTGTCTCATTGTCCAGCCTGCAACAGCTGTCTTACAGACTTCCTCTTGTATTCATTCACTAAATATTGATCTCTTTAACCAGTTTTTCAGTTTCCAGATCTTGGGGTGCATACTGTAGTTGGTAGAGCCCTATCCCAACAGACTCACAACTGGAATTGCTGTCAAAACTGGTTCTACCAAGTAACCTGAGTATTAACTTGCGTGTGTGAAGATTTATCTAACTCTGATATTTTGTTTTTTTTTCCCATTAAAAGTGTAGAGCATGAGGTGAACCAAAGAAATGCCCTCAGTTCTGATTGCAGAGATTCATCTCTCTGTCTCAAATTCTGAGAAACAAAGACACTATTGGAAAAAATACCATTTATTAAGGTTCACATAACATCAGCAGTTAGCATTCGACACTTTACATCAATAGAAACCATCGGCTACAATGAAACTTCCAGTCATTTTTCTTTCAAGGTACAATACCAATCACCTTGCCAGAAAAGTTATACTGCGGAAGATAAATATTACAATAATAGACGAGGTTGTTAACCTGTGTTGTAGCCAGTGTAGGGGAAAGTATGTTGAAATAATTATTTATTAGTGTCTTCTATGTCAGTAAACTATGCAATCTGTGTACTTTTAACTGTTAGTATTATTATTCTTATAATATTATTCTTGCATTCTCGTAACAGTATACAGGTACTGTATGGCTTTCATTGCTATTATTTCTTTCCTGAGTAGAAAATCCGTGTGCTTACTTTTGTTACTTCCCTGATCAATAACGTTTGAAAAACAAAATTATAATAGAAACCCTATGCTTATTACATCCATTATAGCATTGTATTGAGCTGGAAGTTGGAAGGGGATGAATAGAGATAGCAATGTACTGAGTGATGCACATTATCATTGAACTGCCCTGCCTCTGTGTGGAGGTCATCACAAAGTGGGAAGGAGCATCTTCTCCTGGACAATAAGTGCTGCTGTGCTTACAACACATCCATCAGGGAGAAAAAGGCTCATTTGCTTTGGTGAGGGAGGCTGAGTAATGAATAGAATCCACCACCATGAAGCCTCTTGTACCCCTTCACGTAGCACCGAGAGTGGTGACAAATACCTTTGTCTTTGGCGTGACATGTCTCATGTCTCTGCCAATACCCAGTCCTGACACAATACAGTACTTTGAAAATGAGTAAAATCCTCTAACCTGGATACAGCATGATTAAGGGGCTCACAGAGCAGGTTCACCCTTTTTCTACACTCACACCTCTGCACTCCAGAGTGAGGAATCGGTCTTGGGTTATGTTTGAGAAGAGTTCTGTGGCCTCATCATTAGCAGTTTGTGTCCAGTATATAGGAATGCCATGGATAAAAAGAATACTATTCAGCATGCTTATTCATTCCAATGTAACTCATCTGGGCTTAACATGAAATGACAAGAGAGGGAGAGAAACAGAATATATACATGACATATAGTACAAGGAAAACATAGATTTTGTCATGTGGACTTGAAAGGTATTTTAAGACTAGAGGGTTAGGTTTAAGGGTTATCCACCTTCCAAAGGCACTTGGAATATTTAAACCCTGATCTTCCAGTTACTTCTATCTTCTGGTTACTGTAACACACTTTCTTGATCTTTTATTTTCCCACTGCCTGGATGGATCCTAGTGCTCAGATCTGATGCTGGGCATCCATGTCCTCATGGCCTGTGCCATCAGAATCTGGAGAGCCAGGCCCAGCATTCGATATAGCTGGAAAACTGAGGAAAGCTTGACTTATTACAACTCATAACAACCTATTTCCCTTGGATAACCATAATAACAGACCCATCAAGATTATCAGCCCTGATTTTTGCAGACAGTGCTTATGATCTGTTATAATTGACATATCTCAAACCTTGAGGAGGGCCAACTGTTAGGTCTAGAACCCCAAAGTTTATTTTCTCCCCACTGGGAGATTTTTTTCCCTTTCCTTTGTGCCCAGTGGTCAGCTGTTCTTACATTGTTAACTGCTATAGAAATCTATGAAGTGCTCTCTGACAAGTGTTATGAAGGGTGCTAGAGCAAATAAATGATTGATTGATTACAATACAGATGGCTCATAAAGAGTCTATACTCAGAGGCTAACACCTGTCTAAACTGATCAGAGCCAGGCTCACATACAGTATAAAGAGCCTTGACAATGTCATGTAAATAAGTATATATGAATTACATAGTTCAGTCATTATAAGAGAGAGATGCGTAGAAGAGGCAGAAGTGTCAATAATACAACTCAGTATATCGCTATCCATTGAGCGGAACGAATATAGTTCTGTCTGTCTGAGGTTTAAAGATTAGAAAAAAAAGCTAAAAAATAAGGTTGATGCAAAAATATGAAATGCAAGAAAACAAAAGAAAGAAAACAAGTTCAGCTGCAGAGCCGTGTTCAGGTGTGTTTTTCAATACTGTAGGTTCTCAACCTACACAAAAAGACTGTCTGAAAATGGAATTCTCTTCATTGACCAAAGGCAGAAGGTATAGAACTGTTCTATTTACAGTGTATTATTACTATTATCATTGGGTGCTGTAAAGAATGGCATGATTTCAAGAAAAAATTAGTGAGGGAAAATATGCACCAGAGTTATTTATTACTAATTCTTGGCTATCTGCATGTTGAGTGTAAAATATTTGGAATTGTTCTGACTTACAATGTGATTTACAGTATTTGAAATCTTACTAAGGAGGGAAAATAACAGAAACTTTTAAATTAAGGCTCTGCTTGGCTTTGCACTTCAGTACCTGTCTGACTTACTATCGTCCTAGTCCCACCTCATAACCTTCATTGTCTAATTCTGATCTCCTGTGTGTCCCCCAGACCTGTTTACATACTGTACTGTAGGTGACAGGGCCTTCTCCTGTTTTGTCCCAGAGTTCCTGAATTTCTATCCCTAAGGGGATAGACTAACTATCAGTTGACTGTGTTGACTAACAACACAGTTGACTAACTATCAGTCACCTACGGTACCCTGAGCACTTTCAAATCAAGACTCAAAATCTTCTTCCTTAGAAGGGCTTTTATTCAACTGCTTCTATGTCTGCCCCTTTGCTTTCCTCCTATTTTACAAACCCTTAACATAACTGTGTAATTTGCCGTCTCCTCTCATTGTATGCTATTTTTCACTGTAAAGTGCTTTGAGAAGCCACTTTTAAATGTGCTGTATACTGTATATAATAAAGTTGATGTATTATCTAGATTTATGTAATAAACATTTATAAAGAAGCTGTTCAACTAGGTATCTGGCTGCTGGATCTTTTAAAAAGACCACCTGGAAGAGTACAGAGTGAGGGAGTGATAAGGGGAGTTGTTAAAGATCAAGTGTTTACATAACAACCTGTAACAAGAGGATTAAAATGTCAGAGTTTTGTAACATGAAGTGCTGCCATCACTTACAGAAAAAATGGTAACTATATACAGAAAGCTTGTTGAGGAAGAATTCCTAATTGCACTTAATTACTCAGAAGCCATGCAATTAAAAAAAAATGAAATCCCCTTTGTGCTCTACCAAAAAGACCTCTACACATGTTCTGCATGAATTCCTGGGCTGCACTTGTGCAGTGCATTCTTCCATTTTCAATTACCGATGATGCACACGAAACACATGATGAGGGCGTTGAAGCTAATGGTGGTGCCGTGCCTGCGTCAGCTGGGTCCTCTGGAGAATACGAGGCTCTGACCCTGAGCTAATCTCCCAGAGAAAGTTAACAATGTAGAATTATTGGGCATCTG